AGAGCGGTAATTTCCAATGAGGTAGAAGATAAGCTACCCATGGATGATACATGAATTTTTAAAGCCGACCAAACTTATTAAGGATTTCTTTAAGAACCAAATGAAATCATATAGCATAAAATCCAATCACAAAAGGTTGATCAACAAATAAACTAGCCCAATCAAAAATTATGAAAAAAACAAGTTTAATTAAAATTATACTTGAATTGATTTTTTTTTTTTTTTTTTGTGAGGAATCTACTTCGACTTAACATTATGAACATTTATGAAACTTTAGAAACTTTAAATTTCTAATTTTTTAGGAAAATTAATTTAAATTATGAGATATTAATTGTTAGTTGTATAAATTTATATAATTAATTACTTGAAAATTTTATCTAAGGTTTTGAAGCCTTAAAGGGTTAGCTTCCCTCTTCCCTTTTTCCAAAATGACTGGTTGTCTCTATCTTCTCACATATTATCCATTTTTATAGTTGTATTAAGGTTATTTTAAGAATTATTTTTAATTTTTTGTTAAATGAAGGATGGTTGATTGAAATAATTTTATTGAATTTTCATACAAGACTTAGGCTTGGTGGCCATCCTAAAAAGGTGAAAATTCTTCTTTTCACCACCATATTATTTTGGTGAGTTCTACTTTTTTTTTTCTAAATCCTAGAACTTTTATTTTTTATTGATGCGATATCCAACACTTTTGTTGTGAAATGCCTACTTTTTAATTATATAACTTCCTATAATTTTTTCGCTTTAAATATCTCACAATATCAAAACAAACCAACTTTAATGTGATTGGCCAAGATTAGGTCCAATCTAACCAAGATTTCTTTCATCAGCTACTAACATGTTTAAACCTTTTGCAAAACTGTGAAAAATTTATATTTAATTTAGACACATTTTACTATCAAGCCTTAAATCTCTATAATAGAGCTAAACATCCATCCAAGTCTATTATTATAATAGATTCTTGTTTGCCCTATTCTTTAAATAAAATCTAGAAAAAATGTTTGAAAACTCTACAAAAATTCACGAAACTTTCTAGACCATCTTGACACCCCAATCTAAGATTTTCGGTCTGTTACATGAGTGGAGTTTATATATATTTTCACACAAAAAGCTAAAATCAAATATGTGGTTTTGTATTTTTAGGCTACACCTTGTAAGGCCAACCATAATTTGTCCCCTTGAAGCTTCATTTAAACTCTAATCCTTGCTTGCACATCTTCCTTGACATCTTTTGAAGCTTTTATCCAAAAATATTTGTAAGATAAGCTAGGCCCTTCACCATCATGGTTCCTGTTACATGCTATGCTCAACCAATGGAAACTGTGTATCTCTAAGAAGAAATTTTTTAACTTTCTTCAACAAGAAGTGATGCCATTTACAAAGTCAAATTATCATGTAAAAAATCATAAAAGATAAAACAGAGTCGTATTGAAATAATTCAGAAATTCTTCATGATACATAACTACTATTAAAACTAGAAAGATTGATCCAACGACCCATTGCAACATGATCCAAGTTATCTCTCTTCAAATGTTATTAGATTACATAACATCATTAAAAAAAGAGTGAAATGGCATTAAATATATTGATTTAGTGAAAAAGGTTATATCTATAAGAGATTATAAAAGGGTGTTTATAAGATCATTTGTTTTAAATTGGACATAAGGACTTGTTAAATGTAGATGGGCATTTCTTATGTTGAATTGTCATATACTTGTAAAATGCTTGATCTTATGTTGAATTGCCATATAACATAAACATAATTCATAATTATCATATTGAATATGGACTAACATTTTTAGGGATATGCTTCATAAGAATTTTGAGGCTAATCATTTTATAAGTGGAGTCAGTAATTAAATGTAGATGGGCATTTCGCCCATTAGCCTTGTAGTGGAACACATCCAGGGAGATGCAATACCAAATAATGACAGTGAAGAGCACAAATTTCTAGTGAGATAGATAGATAAGCTACCATAGATGATACATGACTATTTAAAGAGTTTATAGATGATACATGACTATTTAAAGCTGACTCGGAGAAGAAGACACCCAAACTTATTAAAGATTTTTTTAAGAGCCAAATGAAATCATGCAACGTAAAATCCAATCACAATAAGCCGAGCAACAAACAAACTAGCCCAATCTTAAAAAACAGTATGAAAAAAAAAACCTTTTAATTAAATATTTACTGGTATTTAAATTTTTATATTTTGAAATACTATACTTCAGCTTAACATTATGAATTTGTATGAAACTTTAGAAATTTTAAATTAGAGTAGAGTTTAAATTTCTAATTTTTTTAGTAAAACTAATTTAAATTACGAGTTATTATATATTTGTTGTATAAATTTATATAATTAATTAATTCAATACATTTTTTAAGGCTTTGAAGCCTTAAAGGGTAAATGATTGCCCCAATCTTCTCGCATTTAATCTATTTTAATAATTTCGTTCCCTCTTTTTTTTTTCAAAAGAAATGATTACCCCAATCTTCTCGCATTTAATCTATTTTAATAATTGTATTAGGGTTATTGTAATAAATTATTTGTTATTTTTGGTTGAATGAAGGATGATCGATTGAAATAATTTTTTTGAATTTTCATACAAGACTTAGAGGTTTGGTGGCTAACCCAAAAAAGTGAAAATTTAATTATATTCCATCACTATATTATTTTATTGAGTTATAAAGTTTTTTTAAATATCCGCATGCTTTTAATTTTTATTGATGTAATATCCAAAAACAATTGTTGTGAAATGCCTACTCTTCAATCCTCTACCTCCCAATAATTTTTTCTCTAAATCTCTCACAAAATCCAAGCAAACCCCACTTTAAGGTGATTGGCCAAGATCACGTTACCTAGAGTTCTTTCATTAGCTACTAAACCGCTTAAACCTTTTGCAATACTGTGAAATATTTTATATTTAATCTAGATACATTTTACTATCACTACTGAGTTTTCCCAATGTATTCAAGCTTTAAGCCTCTCCATTAGAGCTATATATCCATCCAATTCTACTATTATATTAGATTCTTGCATGGCCTATTCTTTAAAATCTAGAAAAAAGATTGAAAACTCTACGAAAGTTCACGAAACTTTCTAGACACGATCTCGACATCCCAATCTAGGATTTCCAACCTGTTTCATGCCTGGAGGTTATATACATTTTTCACACAAAAGGTCTAAATCAAATCTAGGATTTTCTGTTTTTTGGCTACACCTTGTATGGCTAACCATAATTTTCCCCTAGAAGATTCATTTAAACTCTAATCCCTTGCTTGCAGATCTTCATCGACATCTTTTGAAGCTTTTTATCCAAAAATATTCACAAGATAACCGAGGCCCTACACCATCTTGTTTTCCTTTACATGCTATATGCTCGGCCAAAAGAAACTGAAAGCTTTTAGCTTTACTCAGCTAAAAAAGTAATGCCATTTAACAAGTCAAATTATTGTGTAAAAAATCATAAAGGATGAACACCTAATATTCACATCATACACCTAGGGAACCACTTTGTAAATTCTACATGACAGAGAGCTACTATTGAAAGTAGAAGGATAGATCCAGCGACTGACAAAATTATTTACAGAATGATGTTGCCTGTACAATTACATTTTTGACTAAGCTAATCTATGAAACAACATGAATATAGCATGAATACAAGCAAAACCAAAACGGTTAAGCAAACAAATCACTTCAAGTTAAGCAAACTAAACTGTAGAACTCAGAAATAGAATCACCATGTTGTTGATAACATCTGCCGAAAGTGTTCTCTGCACTGTATACAAAGTAGAGAAAACCATCTTCATCTTTTTTCTCATTGTAGAGCTCGGACATCAATGCTCCTGAAACATAGAGTTTATATTAGCACTCATTTATCCTTTTGATGATGAAGGGAAGGCTAGTTCAGCAAGTCATAGTAATGCATCTGAAAACCTCCTAATCTCATCATCTTTCTCATTTCTAAAGCATCTGAAAACCTCCTAATCTCATCATCTTTCTCATTTCTAAATAACTTGAAATAAACTAATATATCAAAGTCTACACATTTATATTATAGTACCTGTGGCTGGAAGAATATTGTCCACAAACAAAAACATGGCCTTCTCTGAAGGTAAACAGATTCTCTTGCGGATAACACTAGCAAACTGCCCTATAGTTAAGTCGCGTGGAACTAAGTATCTGCACTCGGAATCCAATGATATATATTTACTAGCTTATCACACACAATATTTTATGAATCAACAAATTATAATCTTGAAAAGCATGGTAAAAAAAAAAGGTTCAACAATTTCTTTCCAAACAAAGCAATGTCGGATTTAATCTACGTTGTCCATATAAGGCATAATACATGATGCTGTAATGCAGAACTTACTTGCGCTTATCAACACATTGGATGTCGCTTCTATGTGCTTTCTCCACTATCACCTATGGAGAATGAAGAAAAATAAATTATGCACAAATTGATGGAAAATCAGCTAAATCGAAAAAATTGATATCATCATTATCATCACCACAGCCACCGTCATTAGTTTTATCCCTTCTATTTCGTTGCGGTATTTTCTAGAAATTGCTAAAAGAGGCGCCAATTTTCGTCAAATGAAACGGCAACAGAGAAAAAAACCATCAGTAAATTTTAGGTACAAATCAAGCAGTTCACCATGATAATCCAGTTTGATAGACTAATTATGAGGACTAATTACAACAAAATGAGAAAAAAGGCTCCAACAAATTGTTTAATTGATAAGAACAAGTGTTTTGTACCGCCCACACCAATATCACATTCAACAAATGATTAAAAAGAAAGAAAGTTCTCCCGGTATGTTTCATTCTATTTCAAGTCTTCAATTAAAACCTATCATCAACTTCATTGGATCCTGAAAAAATTTTGGATAGTTAGAAATTCAACTTCATTTTTCTAATTCAGCTTCATAAAAAGAACTCCTAACTATTGGATTTCATCTTAACTTACCTTATAGAACGATTTTCTATGCTACCATGTTCATGATGTCTCTATACAACTTATCTACTGTCCATTACAGCATATTCAGTAGATTTCAATACCAAGCTACTTATATGATAGAAATCACGCACCATCATTTCTAGTCTTAGGACAATACGTATTAACAAATCCAACTATGGTAACATTAAATTGTTTATGATAGTGACAAATATCCCAAATAAATTAGAACCAATCCCATTACTTCATACAGTTCTTCGTTTCTCCGTTAGAAGAAAGTAAATTGTCAACCGGCAGAGACTTTATAACTCCACAAAAAGAGTGTTCCTTCCATTAAACTCCACGTTTCTCATGAAATGAAACAAGTATTTATGTATCATGTCAACGAATGTTTTAGTCACTCATTCTGACACATATTATCATTTTACAACAGGTAGAAAAAAATGAAGAAAATATTTTAAATATTTTTTTTTTGAAGGATAGCAATTCATTATTAATATTTTATTAATTGAAAGTAGGGCACAATTTTGATTACAATAAATCAACGAATGTTTTAGTCACTCATTCTGACACATTATCATTTTACAACAGGTAGAAAAAAACGAAGAAAATATTTTAAATATTTTTTTTTCTTGAAGGATAGCAATTCATTATTAATATTTTCTTAATTGAAAGTAGGGCACAATTTTGATTACAATAAGCTGAACAAAAAGAGTTACAAATAAGGGCACAAAATCATTTCAAACCGAATCCTGCATAATCTGCTAGCGAATATTTTGTTGAACTATGCCATAGGTCTAACTTGTCAAACATGAATATAAGGCATATAACCTCAGAACCAAGGAGCATAGATAGAACTAGAGTAGAAGCTCTTTAATAATAATATTTCCATTTAAGACATCATTGATGGCCGTAATTTTTAAAGGATTTTCAAAATGTGCAGACAATTTTTTGCCCTGCTTCAATAACCTAGCACTGACATTTATTCAACGAGCTAGCTATGGCCCACTAAAATTTCCTAATAATAAAAAAAAACTTTAAAAATCTAATCTAATTTCAAGGCAATAATTAATCGTACACAAAAAAAAAAAAAGAAATTCACCTTAAATTAGAATAATAAAAAATGAAATTGGTAATTACATTCAAAATTCATATCATTCAGTATTAAATTCAAGCCAAAAATTAATCATAACTATAAAAAATGACTGATAAAGCATGCATGGAAAAAAGTAAGGGCTTGGGACCGTTTTGGTTTTTGTTTTTTGCATATTTTTAAGAACGTATTTGTTTGATGCATTTTTTAAGTAATTTAATCTTTTGCTTTCAAAAATAAATTAACCTGTTTTAAAAACACTCAAAACAACATGTTTTGAGTGCTTTCAAAAACAAGAGCCAAAAACAAACATAATTTATTTCAAAGTAAAACAGACAAAACAAAATAAAAAAATAAAAATAAAAAAGAAAAGTGATTCAAAACAGCCATTAAATGTGCTTTTACTATTATTAAATAGATGTATTTCTACTATATCAAACAACAAAAATATCTATATCATGTTGACTTCCCATTTCATGCTGAGCTTAAATTAAGTGAAAAACTGAACTTTAAATAGATATGAACCCAACGATTTTTAAATTTGAGTTTCATTCAAAACACAAGAATTGAAAGCACATCCATTTTCACAGCAGAATTTTGCAATTCGTTTTGATAATACATTTGAATGAAGCTATTAATAATAGCCCAATCAAGCCAACTCCATATGGTGCGCATGTACCACAGTTCATGCCTCATAAAAACTGAATTCAATCATCCTAACAATACGTCTAAATAGGATAGAAAAAATTAAAACCTGGAACAAGAAAAAGAGCAATTTTTTTATCTATCCACTCATCAGGAGTAATATAAGGATGACTCAAGTCAGCTTTTTGATGGCCAGAGAGAACTAAATGATTCTAAATTAATACATTCATTTCCCCGCCATCTAACCACCATCACAACCTCAGCCATTCACTTGCACATTAAAGCAAATGAGAACAAGAGCTTCTCTGAAACTTTTCGTGAGAATAAAGAGTCACGAAAGGTAATTGTTGTTTTATAATTGGCATTTCAAAAAGTATCAAACATCCTACATATTGATCACGATACCTACTTAAAAAAAAAGAATATCATTCTGCACAATCTGATACATATTACATAATCTATTTATAATCTTAAATCTTAAATGTGATACATACTTTGATTATATTGATCATGGACTATTTTCATTTTCATTATTTGAAAATTTTAAATCTAATACATATTACAGAACCTATATATAAAAATAGATTTAAAGGAATGGTCAGAGGTTATTATACGAGCCTCCAACCACCCCTAACGTGCCTAACAATTAGAGTACCACCTCCTTATATATAAACTGCTAAAGCTTACAATAATTATAAGGAAACTAAAAACCTTGTAAAGGGACAAGTAGACAATGTAAAGTAGTAAATTTAGATGATTTATATAACAGTCAGGTATTAAGGAAAAAGAGAAAAATAGAATAGCTAAAAACAAATAGAAGTTCCATAGACCTCAACTACCCTAGTTATATTAAAAGTACCTTAGTTATATTAAAAGTAAAGCTAAAGCTAATATGATAATAGTTAAAGATAATAACAAGACAAGGATGCAAAGAACAATTTGGAAAATTTATTAAATGGGAGATTATGAAAGAAAAATCTTTTAGAGTGACATAATGAACAAAATGATCAATTGCACTATTGATTAATCCATATATTATAGTTAACTATAAATAGGAAGCATAAAGATAAAGTTCAGGCCAACATGAGCTACTTGATAAGATTAGAAATGCTATGAGAAATGCTGGATCAATTTCAAAAATAATAAAATAAAATCTTTCTAATGGAAGCTTGAATACAAAGAGGATGTTGCATTATTGGAGAAGTATTACATGTTCCATATTCAAGAAGAAAATTATTTATAAAGATAGTGAACGTTATTAGAAAATTAAGCTTAATGTCATACTATGGAGATAAGAGAAAAGGTTATGAAAAACATTAATAGAAATTGCATTAGATAGAAGAATCAATTTCGATTTATGCAAGGATAACCCATTATAAGTACAATTGTTTAGCTACGACAATAAAAGAAAAAACACAGTGAGCATTGAAAATACCTTCATTTATAAATTATATATTAGGTAACAATGGGAGAGAATTGTCTCATTTTAAAAACATTTCAATCCTTTATCATAATATATCTTTATGGAGTTCCAAAAAAAAAATTCTACCAAAACAAAGTCACGCCAAAGATAAGGAAAAAGTTGGTAGATTTTTTGCATTGATTATGGAAATTCTTAGAAATGATATTCGAAGTCAGAAAACTTAGCATGGCTATCAAGATGTGTTAGTTCTAATAGGAGAGCCATCTGTTGAAAAATACGAGTTAGAATAAAGAAGGTTTTAGAATAGAATAGAACATAGGAGACTAAAAGAGTAAAGCAAAGTTCAAATATATGAAATGGAATTTTAATGGGACAGATTTAATGCTTTATGATTGAGATAAAGTGATACTTGGATGTGATAGCTTACGAAAATTGGATATAATATACAAAATAATAAGAATATAAATAAAGGCTGTTTGCCAAAGAACATTGTCAGGAGTATTTATAGAGGCATATTTATAACAACTATGCTATATGGATCAAATTCAGAACAAAAATAAGTCATAAATAACTATATTGCGTGTGGCTAAAATTAAGGCTGTAGTAAGAAAAAATGATGGCATGAGAAATGATCATATATAGGATACTAAAAGAGGTAACCTTAGATGATAACTGATAGGAACTTCTGCAGAAATTAGTGTAAAATAAAATATTTTTGTTTCACCAATACCAAACAACACAACCCGAATACATAAAAGATAAACAGCTACAATTCAAGAATTAGGCGATTTATCCCAAGCCTTAAGCCTAACATCTACAATTCACCATGTCTCGCAAACCCTAACCCTAAGATTCAAGACAACAATCACATATACCTAACTACCTAACCCAAAGCATATTAGTCTTATTTATACCCCACAATAATAACAAACAAATGCATAAATTGGATTGTTATTTTAGTCTTACGCCTAACACAAGTCTTCAAACTATTTTTGCACGCTCGGTGTCGACTCAGTGGCGCACGACAAACAGTGCCATAGGCATGGGTTTAACTTTACTCCCCCCAATTCCATCTATCGAAGTTCGTTTCACCTATGAAGCAAGGGGTTGGGTTCCCTTCCTCAACCCATTTGATTTCTCTTCTTCCATAAGTTCGGCTCACCCCATAATCAACTCGCCCGCCCCCATAGGCTCCTGAAGCAACATACGCCCGAAAGGTTGCCACAGCAAAAGCCACTAAAGCAGTTGGATGAAGCCCTCCTTCAGGCTCCCACCATCGTGGTTCCATGCTCTAGATCGAAATCCTT